CACGGTGAAAGGAAAATAGATCCAGGGACCCCCAAATCACTAAGCTAAAGGGAGAAGAGGAGAAGTCAAGCTGGGAACTGCTTAAGACCAACCTACCTCCCCTTCTTTTCAAAGTCACCCTCTGCTCACTGAGATAAATGCACATCTGATTGCCTCCTTTGGAGCGGCTCATCAGAAACTCCAAGGAATGCAGCCATTTGTCTCTTACCTACCTATGAGCTGGAAGCCCCCTGTCCTCTTGGAGTCTTCCTGCCTTTGCTTCGAGCTGTCCCGCCTTTCCAGATCGAGCCAATGTTCATCTTACGTATGGTGATTGATGTCTCATGTCTCCCTAGAATGTATAAAACCAAACTGTGTTCTCACCACCTTGGGCACCTGTCATCAGGACCTCCTGAGGCTGTGTCACGGGTGTGCGTCCTCAACCTTGGCAAAATAAACTTTTTAAATTAACTGAGGCCTGGCTCAAATTGTCCGGGTTCACAACACAAAGAAGGGAACGATAGACAAGATTAGCAGATGATTTCAAAATGGTTGTATTTCAGTAACTTCAATAACGCAGGCTAGGGAGACAGGTTAGAGAGTGATCGTCAGCCAGAGTGGTTGCCTGCACAGAACTGATGGTGTCCCCTCCTGCAGGATGGCTCCACCCCACACTTTGCCCTGGTTGCAATCAGGTGTGGCCTGAAAGGCAGCCCTAGAGACCAGAGCATGGAGGTAATGAGAGCTCGCTGGCTCAGACTCCTTCTAGAGGAGTCACTGGAGCTGGCTGGTTGGCCCCTGTGCTGCCCTGGGGCAAGGTCACTGCAGAGATGCTCCCCAGGCAGCCCCTCTCCCCAGGTGTCTTCTTCCTCTGCCCCTTCAGGCCCCACAGCTGGCTCTTGTTGACCCAGAGAGTGCACCAGCCCTCGGTTGGGGTTCCCTACTTCCTGTTCTGCGGATTGTCCTGACACTGTCCTCAAGCCACGCAGCCCCAGGGCGCTTTCGTCTCTCCTGGGATCCTGGGGCTGAGACCAGTTTCTTAGGGCTTCCTGCAGATCGGATTAGGGTGGAAGCACCTCTCCTATTGCAGGTTAGGAAGCTGCCGAGCGGAAACCCAGCATCCTGGCTGAACCTGGGGTGCTGCTGGCTGATCTGGGATCCCGCAAACTACCCGGGCCTCAGAATCACCTGGGGAGGTTGCTTCAAATGCATATGTTCGGGTCCCTCCCAAAACCAGAGTCAGAATGTCCCGAGGTGGCACCCAGGAGCATGGGCCTGGCTGCCGCCATCCTCTCCTACCCCTTGGTTATTTGGGAGCCCGGATCTGCCTTCACTGAGCACACAACGAATCACTGCGTGCCCTGTGACTGGGACGTGCCCTGGGACTGCGAACAAGGTCATTGCTATAGGAGGGTCTGTGCTGTCTCCCTAACTCCCAGCACCTCTGTGACCCTGCACGGTGGGGGCACAATGCAGCCCAGGTCCCCGTCGCCCACTGCTGTGCACCAGTGATGCTGCCGTCAGAAACGGCCCCACTTGGGCAGAGAGGGCTGGAAACCCTGGCCCAGAAGTTAGGTTTGAGAACGAAAAAAAAAACAAAAACAAAGAACACAGTTGAAATCCTCCAGTTGATCTTCCTCACTCTGAAGAACGTTGAACTTGTGATAAGAAGGCAGCCTGAGATCAACGATGGCAGATCCATCGACTGGTCACAGTTCAGTTCTGTCCCTGACCTCGGTGTCCTTGGAGGACCAGGCCTGGTTCAGTCTGTTCCCACTGGGAAACCTCCTTGCCGTGCAGCGAGCACCAGGCTAGCGGGTGGGGACCCTGGCCCCTGTCTGCACCCGTGCGGGGGCAGAGACACAAGGCCCCCTGCTGCTGGGAACCTGGGCTTCTCACGGCGGGTGGCTGCTCACGGGGCTGCGGGCCACTCCTGTCCTCTCACCCAAAGCAGCCCTACACCCAGGCCAGGCATCCTCAGTCTGGCAGAGTCACTCCCAAGGGGGCAACATTAGCTCATGGGTGGACAAAAATTCTTGGCCATTGCAACATTTGCGATTCTCGGGAGGGTCAACACGTGAACAGGTTTATCATTCCTGTGCGCGGTGAGAAAAGGAACATTCAAAAGAAGATCTTAAGAGTAGCCTCTAACGGCTGCATCAGGACACAGAGCTAATAAAGCCAAGGCCTGTAACCTAAAGCTGGCCTCTTGCCTGTGTAATTGGGGTTTGTTAAATATTTCACTGGCAGGTACTGGTCATAAACCTGTTTATCATAAACCTGTAGAATAAAGACAGGAGGGAACCAGTCTCCCTCCAGCCCCCCACTCAACTGCATATTTACCTTATCGTTTGGGCAGTGCCACCGAGCGCCCATCAGAATCTCAGGAATGTCACGGCTGTTTCACCGCTTGCCTCTCCCACCTTCTGGGCCACACACATCCACCTGTTAGAAAATATAAGTGCACGGTGCCTCACAGAGCCTGCTTTGAGATACATTCTCAGTGGACACAGAGTCTGTGTTCCTGGGCTTAAGTCCTGCAGCTTGGCTCAGAATAAGTCTCACCATGATTTCCCTCAGTTCTAGTGTTTACTATTCAGCTTTGGGTCAATGGTGGTATTATAATTTCATTGCAGAGGTGAGGGCTTGACTAGGAACATAATGTCTAAAAATCCTCCTTAGCAGATTAATAATGAGAAAATGGTAAGGAACACTCTCAGCACACAGGCCTGTGAAAACTGGCAGGTGAAACTCATTGGCCATTCTTGGACTAGATCATGCAACAAATACACGAGAGTTGCTCACGACGTGACAGGTGCCTCCCTTGCTGTTGGGGATACAGCAGCAGGTGACATTCTCGACAGCTGAGGAGCCTGGCGATTCCTCCTGAGGCTCCTCTCTAACCCAGCGTCCAGGTTCCAGACACTTCCCACCCAGAGTGTCCAAGTCCAGCCTGATGCTTCCCACAGCAGAGCCTGGGGGCAGCCCAGACCCTCAACCCCTCACCCCCGCCGTGACACGCCATCAGCTGGAGCTGCCAGCCTGAGAACTCGGCAGCCCTTGTGTGCTTGGGAGCACAGCTCCGATATGGTGTGGCTGTGTCCCCACCCAAATCTCATCTTGAATTGTAGCTCCCATAATTCCCGCGTGTTGTGGGAGGGACCCAGCGGGAGTAACTGAGCCATGGGGGTGGTTTCCCCCATACTGTTCTCATGGTAGCAAATAAGTCTCATGAGATCTGATGGTTTTTTTGTTTGTTTTGTTTTGTTTTGTTTGTTCGGTTTTTTTTTTCTTTCTTTTTGAGACGGTGTCTCAGTTTGTCACCCAGGCTGGAGTGCAGTGGCACGATCTCAGCTCACTGCAACTTCCGCCTCCTGGGTTCAAGCGATTCTCCTGCCTCAGCCTCCTGAGTAGCTGGGATTACAGGCTCACGCCACCATGCCCAGCTAATTTTTGTATTTTTAGTAAAGACGGGGTTTCACCATATTGATCAGGCTGGTCTCGAACTCCTGACCTTGTGAGCCTCAAACCTCAGCCTCTCAAAGTGTTGGGTTTACAGGCATGAGCCACTGCACCCGGCCAAACTGATGGTTCTATAAGGGGAAACCCCCTTTGCTTGGCTCTCATTCTCTCTTGCTGCCGCTACGTATGACACGCTTTCAGCTTCTGCCGTGGTTGTGAGGCCTCCCCAGCCACGTGGAACTGTGAGTCCATTAAACCTCTTTTTCTTTATAAATTACCCAGTCTCAGGTATGGCTTTATCAGCAGCATGAAAGTGGACCAATGCAAGCTCCAAGGACAGGCGGGAGGAGGAGGCCATGTGGCATCCAGAAAGAGCAAAAGGTAGCTCTGCGGTCAGTCGGGTCCGACTGGGTCCCTTGCTGGATTTCCATCTTTTGTGCAGTTCAGTGATTGATGTAAAATGTCCTCAACTCAAACTGCCACAGCCCCAGCAGAGAACACACTGGTAGGGCCCAGCAGTCAGACAGGATGTCATCACACAAACAACTCGGCAATGCTGGCTGATGAAATAGCCATCTCGCCCTTTCTGGGGGTGACAGACATCCGGGTCACCTTCCTCCAGCCACTCATTTCTGTCCTGATTGATGAGGCTACCTGAAGCACTGACATGTCATTTGGTCAAAGGTCCATTGCCGATTCGGGGCTGTAATTGTGCTAAGTCTGGGGATAAAGAGGTGAACGAGACGCTGACCCAGTCTTCAACGAGCATAACTTATTAAAGGGGCTTTCATTATAGTACTAAAGCTTCTTTGCACAATGATGACTGCACGTGCACCACCCAGGGTGGTCTACAGGAAGACTCGGGGCGATGCAGGATCCCAGGCAGGCGGCAGTGTGGGCCGCGGTGCACATAGCAGGCCCGTAGGTCTGCTCCTCTGCTTCCTGGAGTCTCTGCTAACAGGAAAAAGATCAGCGCTGTGAGCCAGTCCCAGACATGATGATCTTCTCAATATTCTAGAAGGCGATGGAGGGATCTGTCTTACCCAACTGCCACTTTGGGAATCCTGCATTTTAGAAGGCTTGGCCTGAGGCTTCACTTCTGTTGACAGTGCGTAGACATCCAAATGCTCTCGTATCTTTCCCCATCAAAATCTTCTCTTCAGAAAGTGCCCTAAGAAAACAAACACATGCAATGGCTTTGACCAAATGACTGTGTCCTCCCTGTCAGAGGAACAATGCAGTGGCTGACAGTGTCCTTTCCCTCAGAGGAACAGTGCGGCGGACGGGTGTTCATCTCCTCCAAATGAACGCAATGCGGTGGCTGACGGTTGTCCTCTCCCGTCAAAATGACAATGCGGTGGCTGACGGGTGTCCTTTCCTCAGAGAAGACAGGTGGCGGTGGCTGAGCGGGTCATCTCCCTCAGAGGAACAGTGCGGTGGCTGACGGTGTCCATCTCCCTCAGAGATAACAGATGCGGTGGCTGACGGGTCCTCGTTCCTCCAGAGGAACAGTGCGGTGGCTGACGGAGTGTCATCTCCCTCAATGAACATGCGGGTGGCTGACGGTGTCCTGTTCCCTCACGAGGAACAGTGCGGTGTGCTGACGGTGTCATGGCTCCCTCAGAGAACAATGCGAGTGGCTGACGGTGATCTCCCTCAGAGAAGCAATGCGGTGGCCTGACCAGTAGACCGTCTCCCTCAGTTGAGAACATGCCGTGTGGGCTGGTGTGGTCTCCCTTCAGGGGAATAATGCGGTGGTGGACGTGTCGGTCTCCGCTCAGAGAGAAAAGCGGTGGCTGACGGTACGTCTCCCTCAGAGGAACAATGCGGTGGCTGCTGTGGGTGGTCTCCCTCAGAGGAACGAGAGTGCTAGGTGAGCTTGATGTGGTGTCTCCGGCTCGAGCAGGCACAATGCGGTGGCTACCTAGTACCGTCTCCTAGAGCGAACATTGGTGTGGTCTCCCTCAGAGGAACAATGTGGTGGCTGACTGTGTGGTCTCCCTCAGAGGAACAATGTGGTGGCTGACGTGTCGTCTCCCTCAGAGGAACAATGTGGTGGCTGACTGTGTCGTCTCCCTCAGAGGAACAATCTAATGCTGGCACTACTTCAGGCATCTCAAATCAGTGAATGAGGCTGCTCTGGGGTCTCAGGACATAGTGAGCCCAGGAGGGAGGTGGCGGAAGCCCCAGTGTACCTGCAAGGCACGCCCTAACCAGGAGTTGGATGGGTGTGGATGATGCCAAATGCACAAATGCCCCACAGAAGCAAGGTTAATACACAAAGCTTAGGCCTCCGCGTGATGGCTTGCAGCTGGGCAGGTTGCATGTCATGCAGCTTTGGGAGCTGGATTCACGTGGCAGCCATAGTGAGTTTGTATATTTACGGTGAGCGTTTTCCAGCCAATGGAGGTCATGGGTCTGGAGGACGGGGATTCATCACAGTGACATCTGGGCTAGTGGAGCTGCTGCCATTCCGACCCAGTGGCCTTGAAGCTGACTCCCCTGGAGCTGACCCGCGGCTCCCCATTGCCTGTGGAGTCCCCTCCTCTCCTGTCTCCTGCTGGCGTTTCACCTGACACCTTTATGCTCACAGGACACACTGCTTGCCCCAGAACTCCTCTTGGACCCCTCCTCCACATCAGGGAGTGGAAAGGACGGTGCCCCCTTCCCCTGCAGCTCTAGGGGATCCGTCCCCAACCCTGATGTGACAAAGGTTGGCTGTTGGGTGCTCCATTCAGATGCGCCCCCTCCTCAGCCCTGCCAGGGGCTTCCCCAGGACACTCAGAAAAAAAATGGTCACCTTCTTTGAGGCCATTGGACCCTGCTTAGCTGTGGACTCTCCTGGAGCCCGAGGCCCTTCCACCTGGGACATGATGTCACTGTCCCCTCCAATGGCTGCCCCTCCTCACTGCCAAGAGGTTTTCTTCACTTCCAAGTGGAGCAAGGAGCCCCTGCTGTGTGCTCCTGGGTGGTCCTGTGCTCTTCCCGCCACATTCATCACACAACCCGACACGTCCCTCGTCCATCTTCTCTGTCTCCATGCTCCTTAATGGAGTAGAACCCAGCACAGTCTCTACCTGGTCCACATCTAGGCTGTCTCGTCTATACGCAGTCTATATCCCGTCAATATCCAGTCTACATCTAGTCTAATCTATACCTAGTCCACGTCTAGGCTGTCTAGTCTGTACGCAGTCTATATCCCGTCAATATCTCATTTACATCCAGTCTACATCTAGTCTATAAGTATCTAGTCAATATCCACTCTACATCTAGTCTAATCTATATCTAGTCTACATCTAGGCTGTGTCTAGTCTATTTCTAGTCAGTATCTCATGTAGATTCAGTCCGTCTGGTCTAACGTATCTAGTCAATATGTACTCGACGTCTAGTCTATATCTAGGCCATATCTAGTCTATTTCCATCTATATCCAGTCTTCGTCAAGTCAGTATCTTCTCTATATTTCATCTATTAATACATGTAGTCTACATCTAATCTGTATGTATCTAATCAATATCCAATCTACACTTGGTCTATAGCTAAGCTATATAGGCTGCAAACCTATGGAGCTATACCCGGTCTCCATCTAGTCTATAGTCCATACGTAGTCTATACATAGTCTATATTTAGCCTATATTTGGTCTGTGTTGAATCTGTACACAGTCTCCAGCCAGTCTGTATCTAACCTGCATGGAGTCTCTGCCTATTTTATGTCTACCTTGGTCACAGAGCTAGGAGCACAGAGCCAGGCTCCCGCTAGCTGAATGAACAAGTGAAGGAAGAGATGGTAAGATGAATGATCATTGCTAACCTGGACTTGCTTATAGTCTCCACCACCGGGTTGATGTTACTCTAGTGCCTGCTCAGCTGGCAGCACGACAACGCCCCAGGCAAAGCTCTAGCTACCTCCACACGCGAGACCAGGGAGGTACTTACCCACAGGGTCCATAAGACAGACAATTCCGGAGCATCCAGAAGAGCCGTTTTCCCCAGTTATCTTCACAGATAACACAGCTGTGGTCCCTCGACCCCTGAGAGGGTGGGACCTTCTCTTTCTTTACAGGGAAGGGGTTGACTCTGCCAGGACCTGGGCGCAGGACACGACGACTCTGCCCAACAAGCTGCCACCGCCCCCTGGCAGCTCAGACGGCTATATCCTTTCTATTTTCTTTTTTTTTTTTTTTTGAGACGGAGTCTCGCTCTGCCGCCAGGCTGGAGTGCAGTGGCCAGATCTCGGCTCACTGCAAGCTCCGCCTCCCAGGTTCACGCCATTCTCCTGCCTCGCTCCCGAGTAGCTTGGGACTAACGGGCCGCACCGCCCGGCTAGTTTTTTGTATTTTTTAGTAAGGAGACGGGTTTCACGGTGTCAGCCAGGATGGTCTCGATCTCTGACTCGTGATCCGCCGTCTCGGCCTCCCAAAGTGCTGGATTTACAGGCTTGAGCCACCACGCCGGCCTTTTTCTATTTTTTTATTGTTACTGACGTTATTTTGTTCAAATGAAAGATACTGTTTTCTGTTCTTTGAGACAGAGTCTCCCTCTGTCACAACCTCCTGCTTGTGGGTTCAAGCGATTCTCCCACCTCAGCCTCCAGAGTAGCTGGGGCTACAGGCACAAGCCACCACGCCTGGTTAATTTTTGTTTGTTTGGTTTTTTTTTTTTTTGGTATTTTTGGTAGAGATGGGTTTTTACCTATTAC